GGGTTGGACTAGATGACCTACAAGGTCCCTTCCAACTCATCATCTGATTTGAAGGAACAAAAGGACCAGGGGAGGCAGGCATCTCGGGAGAGGTGCGTTGTGGGGGGGTTTGGGGAAAGGGGGTTCACTCGGTTCCCCTTTTTTGCCGGCCAGGACGTCAGCAGCAACGAGCTGCGTTCCCTCCCCGGGAGCATGAGGACTCTGGAGTCTCTCCGGGACCTCAACGTTCGCCGCAACCAGATCACCGTCCTGCCTGAAGGTCAGCGGGTTCGGCCAGCCGGGTTCGAGCGTCTCCCCGTCCTCCCCCCGTCCCCTCCCCTGGGGCATTTGGCGGGCCGGTTCCCACCCCGACACCCCGACTTTTGCCCTCCGCAGAATTGGCCGAGCTTCCGCTGGTACGGCTGGACTTTTCCTGCAACCTGGTGCCTCGCCTCCCCGTCTGCTTCCGCCACCTGCGGCACCTCCAGTGCCTCCTTTTGGAGAACAACCCCTTGCAGTTCCCACCTGCTCAGGTAAGGTGTCCCCTGTGCGGGGCTCGGGGGGGGTGGCGGCGTCCCCCCCCCAAAAAAAATCTCCTCCGAGCCTCCCTTGGCCGAACCCTCATCCTGAGTTTTGAGCCGTGTTCATTCAGCGGCGGAAAAAAACCAAAAAAAAAAACAAAAACCGCCGGCTGAGGCTTCGTTCCCACTTCTTGATAAACAACATCCAGGTAAAATTATACAAGACCAGTTGTAGATTACTCCAACAGACCCAGAAACCCGTTGCGAGGTCAGAAGCAGAGCAAGCAAGCAAGCCAGTTTCTCTTTTGGGTTTAGTTCAAAGCGGGCCAGCAAGCAGGAAGGGAAACCGTTTCATTTTCTTTCTTTTTTTGTCGCGGAAAGAATGGTTTATTTTTTTTAAAAAACCGACAGAGACGTACGAAACATACCAAAGCTAAAACCATCTTCCATTTTGATAGGCATACAGTGTGTCCGTTGGCTGCAAATTTTTTTGTGCTATTCTTTCGTAGTCCTTGACTCACAATTGATATCCATTTTCAGATTGGTTTTATTTATTTTTTTATAAATTTTATTGGTTTTTAAAAACAAACAAAACATAAAAACATCCGATTTTCTTCCCTAGATATACAAACAATGTGCCGGTTGGTTTGCAAATCATTTTATCCATTTTCCCATTGTTGAACTCACATCTGCTTGTATGCGTATCGGTTATGAACCATCCAGGACTAAACTATTTATTCCGCCGTTTTATACGAGATGCTCCGAGTTTTATCTGAGAATTTAGGTGATCCTTTCAGACCAATGGTGATAGGTGTCTATGGTTTTATATATCAATCTATTAGATTTCCATCACAAAATTACTCACAATTGATATCCATTTTCACATTATTGAGCTCACATATGCTTGTATAGGTATCAGTTATTAATCATCTCACTATTTATTGCACCATTTTATACGAGATGTTTCCAAGTTTTACCTCAGAATTTATGTTATCCTTTCAGACCAATGATGATAGGTGTCTATGGTCTTATATATCAATCTATTAAATTTCCATCACAAAATTACTCACAATTGATACCAATTTTCACATTGTTGAGCTAACATATGCTAGTATATGTATCAGTTATTAATCATCCCACTATTTATTGCACCATTTTGTACGAGATGCTCCAAGTTTTACCTCAGAATTTATGTGATCCTTTCAGTCCAATGGTGATAGGTGTCGATGTTATGTCTTCTATATCAATCTATTAAATTTCCATCACAAAATTACTCACAATTGATACCAATTTTCACATTGTTGAACTCACATATGCTTGTATAGGTATCAGTTATTAATCATCCCACTATTTATTGCACCATTTTATACGAGATGGTCCGAGTTTTACCTCAGAATTTGTGTTATTCTTTCAGACCAACGGTGATAGGTGTCGATGTTATGTCTTATATATCAATCTATTAAATTTATCTAGTCTATTACATTCCCATGTCTTTTTGTCCAACCATGGATAAAACAAATCCCAGATCATATAAAAAATTTTTATCTTCTTGTTCTCTAATGTCAAAGGTCCGTTTACTCCTTTCAGCCCAGTCCATAATTTTAGAAGCAGTTTCATTTTCTCTCTTTTTTTTGGAAAAAATGGTTTATTTTTTCAAAACCGACATACACATACGAAACATACAAAACCTAAAACCATCTTCCATTTTTATAGACATAAAGTGTATCAGTTGGCTGCAAATCTTTTTGTGCTGTTCTTTTGTAGTCCTTGACTCACAATTTATATCCATTTTCACATTGTTGAACTCACATATGTATTGGTTATGAATCATCCATGACTACACTATTTATTCCATCCTTTTATACAAGATGCTCCAAATTTTATCTGAGAATTTATGTTATCCTTTCAGACCAATGCTGATAGGTGTCGATGTTATGTCTTGTATATCAATCTATTAAATTTCCATCACAAAATTACTCACAATTTATATCCATTTTCACATTGTTGAACTAACATATCCTTGTATAGGTATCAGTTATTAATCATCCCACTATTTATTCCACCATTTTATATGAGATGCTCCAAATTTTATCTGAGAATTCATGTTATCCTTTCAGACCAATGGTGATAGGTGTCGATGTTATGTCTTATATATCTATTAAATTTCTATCACAAAATTACTCACAATTTATACCCATTTTCACATTGTTTGAACTCACATATGGTGATAGGTGTCGATGTTATGTCTTATATATCAATCTATTAAATTTATCTAGTCTATTACATTCCCATGTCTTTTTGTCCAACCATGGATAAAACAAATCCCAGATCGTATAAAATGGTTTGATCTTCTTGTTCTCTAAATGTCAAAGGTCCGTTTACTCCTTTCAGCCCAGTCCCTAATTTTAGAAGCAGTTTCACTTATCGGGAGCTCAACTTAGTTGCAGGAGCTTAACACAGAGCCACCCCCCTAGGCTAATTGTAGTTTCGGTTTCCAAACAGGCCTCCTTGGCTGACTTTATATCTGCTAGGCCTATTTTTTTTAAAAAAAAAAAAAAACCGACATAGACATACGAAACAAACAAAACCTAAAACCCATCTCCCCTTTTTAGGTAAATGTTTATCAGAGATCCCTAGTAGGAAGAACTCTGGTTTGTATATGTAACAATTCATATCCTAACTGCGGCCAGATTAGCATTCGCCCAGTGCTAGAAATCATCCTATATACCTACAGAACAAATGGTCATCCAGAAAATATGTGACTGTGCAGAAATGGACAAATTAACTATAGCACTTAAAAATAAAGAGTCTTCAACATTTTATGATAATTGGAACTCGTGGTATAATTGGTTATTTCAGAGATAAACTGCTTAATGAACAATGGGTAATTTAAGCATAGATATTGATAAGATGCGTGTATTTAAAGTAAGGTAGGAGAATTGGATCTTGCAGACTGTCAAAAAGGATATCTGTCTGTTTTTAAATGTATTTTCTTTTCTCTTCCGTTTCTTTGTTTCTTTCTTTCTTTTATATCTCTTTTTCTCTTCTTTTTTCGGTTCGTAAGACCGAGCGTTTTTTTTTTCTTTTTTCTTTTTCTCCCCCCTTTGTATATGCAATGTCGATATGTTTTTAATTGTAAACTCAATAAAATTTATTTAAAAACAAAACCTAAAACCCATCTCCCATTTGATAGGCATACGGTGTGTCCGTTGGCAAGCTCTATGCCAGGTCATGAATATAGTCTTGACGAGACACCAGGGCCCCCCTTCTTCCATGGGGTAGGGGCTTTGTCCCAACCCCCCCAGCCCCCCAAAAGGAGCTCCCTCCAGACTAGGCTGACCCTTAGTGCAATCCGGCCCTTTTTGGAAGCTCCCTTCCCAGGCAGGACCGGCGGAGGGACGCAGGCCCCGCCGGGACGTCCCTTCGGAGAGGCCTTGGGGTGGGGGTCTCTGACTTTGCGCTTTGTTTCCGCAGGTCTGCCAGAAAGGCAAAATGCACATCTTCAAATACCTCAACGTCCAGGCCTGCGGCAAAGGCAGGCCGGACCTGGCCGAGCTGGCCCACCAGGGACGCCCCAGCGGTTTCGGCACGTGGTAAGAGGCCCCCCCGAGGCTGCTCCCCTTCCCCGTGGAAGGGGCTGTCGGAGGCTCCGGTCAGAGGGAAGGGCCTTGGGTGAAGGAAGAAGTTGGCCGGAGCCTCATCCTTGCTCTTTCAGCCTCCCGGATGATTTCTACCCGGCCCGGCAACACGGCGGCCTCGACTCGGGCTTCCACAGCGTGGACAGCGGCAGCAAGCGGTGGTCAGGCAACGAGGTATTACCGCGGCGGGCCGAAGGGCTCGGCCCTTTTCCCCGGGGTGGTGGTGGTGGGCTGCCGGAAAGAGACCTTCGGTTTGGTCCTGACTCTATGTGTGTGGGTGGTGGCCCCGACACCCTCTCTCTTGCTCAGTCCACCGACGAGTTCTCCGACCTCTCCTTCCGCATCGCCGAGTTGGCCCGCGACCCCAAGCAGCTGAGGGAGAAGCGCGGCGGGGCAGGTGAGCGCAGAAATTGGGCAGGGGAGGAGGTTGCGTGGGCCGCCGGCATTGCCGTCGTCGCCCCGGAGGCGCGGCGTCCGGAGCCCGGCTCACCCTCTCCGTCCCGTCCCCCACCCCGTCCCAGGCGATGCCGGCGAACTGGAGCAGATTGACTACATCGACAGCAGCGTCAACGGGGAGGAGGAGGAAGAGGAGGAGGAGGAAGAGGAGGATCCGTTGGGGGAGGAAGAGGCGACGGGGGGCCCTCTGGCTGGGAGGGCCGGCAAGGCGTGGACGGTGCCCCACGAGGTAAGGCACAGCCGTCGGCTATGCCAAGGAATAGACCCCCAAAAACTCAGAGGCAAGAAGATTCCCTCAAAGAACCACTTTATGGGATATATATGTATCTCAGGGGGCCTTCCATCTTGGCAAGTTTAAGACCGGTGGACTTCCAACTGTCCCAGAATTCCT